AGATACGCATCATCTTATCTTTGTAGTCTGACTTATCCATCACTACTACACCGGAACCCTTGTCGGGGCGCAGCACTAGAATACTTCGATATTTGGAGAATCGTATACCTGGAATGAAAAGATTTGACATTTGTGCACACTGCCGGGATCCAGCTAATCCTCAAATAAGTGACCGGCCAACATTCGAGTTATTAGCAAATAATCATCCACTATGTCCTTTTAAAACTCACAATCCGATCTTGTATGATTGCATTCATTGAATTTTTTGTTCTCTGGAAAATAGTTCCGTTTTGTCCCTTTTGCTCACCTAATTCATACTTTCTTTTTATTTTTGTGTACCTCGTCAACTTGGTAAGATCTGCATTGTCATACTGCACTGTGTAATCATAGAAACTGTTCTTAGAAATAACTGCTGTTACGTTGCATTTGTAATTACTCCTACTCAGCAGTGTGATTGTTCATCTATCCAACCGCGCTATCCAATGCAGTTATCCAGTGGGAGGGATGTTTTTGTTCCTCTTAACATCTATGTACAACCCGAATATACAATGCAGTCTTCCATTTGTTTTTCTTGTTTCAAACAGCGCCATCGCGAATCTCTTATTCTTTTCATTACCCTAAATTTAGTCAACACTTTAACTAGGGATATAGTTTTGACACCGTTCGAATGTTTTTTTCTAACCAACAAGTATTCACTCAATCAAATTCCCTGTTTGAACGTTTAGTTTATCCTAACAAGCAAAATTTGTTTGATGCTTTCGACAAAGCTTCCCAAGGAAGGGCGGAACCACCTCTGCTTTGGGTCCGAATGATTATTTTAAAAGAAAAACCAAAAAATTGCCAAACTTCCTACTTTTGAAAGAAATTGATTTTCGACTGATGATATCATAAAGATTATCATAGGTTTTGCTTTATTCCTTTTATTTATTTATCTTCCTTTTCATGGTTTCCATGGGAAAGAAAGAAAAGATAAAATCAGCCCTCTGGGATGGTATTTGCTCAAAACCCATTCTACCTCACACGGACCTGTTCATAGAACTGAAAGATCGGTGCCACTAACAAAAATGAATATAACTGGGGCAGATGTAGATGAATTAGTTGATGACCTACCCAGGGCCACACCCATTTTATCTGGGGCTTTGTATAGTTCTCCACTTCATATGCGGAATCAACAGTTGCCGATTTCAGTAATTAGATGGCAGGTCGCTTCGTCTACAAAATCCATCCATCCAAAAGTTTGATTGAATAACCTAGTATGGAGATAAGCATGTTTTCTGGGGTTTCTCTTCCCCAGTTACCCTTAAAATTCCCTTGCATCGGACGAAATACCTTATTCTTTCAATAGAAAACAAGTGAATAGCCCAATCAAGGCGATTGACGCACAGCCAACAAACGTCTGATAGATTTGCCCTGCTGATGAGACCCAGTCAGGTCGTAACAACAACTGCTTCCTATATTTTCAGTTTCCGCTTTGATGGCTTTGTGCATATCGGAATCCACTATGATACATGTATATACATACTCATATTGAGTCTACAGTCTATGACGACCGTTCTCACGCGCACATTTTCTTCCTAATATTTTGCTTGATGGTTTTCGAGCGGCGGTGGCGGCGATTAAGCGGTTAAGGACGTCTTCATCATGTCCGATCCGCGTTAACACTACCTATCTTCCTCGTATCTGTTTTCGGCCAGGACACCGTCGTATGAGTGCAGCCTAGTTCTTGAAATTTAATGCTGAACTTGTTACTGATCAAACAGATGCAAAGTATTATCATTATTATTAAATCCGCTAATTCTTAAATTGGTTTTACCGCGAACTCAAATATTGATGATTTTAGCTTAGTGACTTAAAATACTACTGAAGTAAGAAGCGTAAAATCAAAGACAATCATCAACTCTACACTTCGGTTTTAACTTTTTGCACCTATAAATCCATATCGTTTTTCATCACTGTCGGTTATAGAGGTGAAGAAGTAGGTTGTGAAACAGATACGTAAAATGTCGATGCACAAATGTCAATATTCTGTGTTCGTCCATTTTTTTCCACTGATCTCGAGAGGCTCACGCGGGAAGCCTAACACCACAACTCACATGGTCAAATATACTCTGGTCAAGTTTGTCATACTTTCGTGTCAGGTCATGGCGTGACTACTCGGCAGTTTGTATAAGCGTACATGTTTACCCTCAAGGATTGATCTAGATTATTTAGCTCATTGCGATAACCAGGTGCATCGTCTTTCTACCGTTTACCTACATTGTGTTACTGTTTTGTCAACAATTTTAGACGATTTATTTTCTGAAGAACTAAACAATGCCAAGTTACTTTTGTAAATATGAATTGTACTCAGATGCTTTTTCGTAAAGCTCAGTTAAATATCAAATAACAGTAAGGTTGAATGACCATGATGAATGGTTTCTATTTTTTTGTTACACCCTGTGTGAATCATATCAACAACAGCACATCTGTGTTTTCATTCCCAAAACATTCGAATAGCGTGTTCAGATCTATTGTATGTGTACCAATAGGTCAAAAGCACCATGACTTTGTTATTCGAATAAACAAAAAAAATAAACCGGTTTCTGTATTGTGTTCCCAAAAATCAGTTGCTCTTTCTTCCTAACTGGTCGACAAGAAGAGAAAAAATGATATTAAATGCAAGGAAAAACGCGAGTACTGGTATTTCAGGATTGATAGAACACCAACTGTTTGGTTTTTATTTCAAGCAATTAGAGGCATCTGACCTTCTCAGTTCGTACAGCTAAATCGACCCTTTTCATCGCATTCGGTGGAACGATCCCATTCCAACACACACACATGTGCATGGCCTTTGGTGGAAATTCGATGATCGTATCAGCGATTTGTTGCTCGATCAGTGACGGGTTCTCTCATTTCCGCAGTCAATTGCTGCGTGACCGCTGATCACATGACGCAAATGAGGTCATCAGATATGAATAAATCGAGTTTGGTTCGCACAATTTAAATTTAGTTTGAACTATAGGCTACAAGTAAATTGTGTTCGTCTTTTGGAGGAGGATTGACGAAGGATAACTAACAGACTTCGTAAAATTCACTACAATGCGTACAAGTGCCTCCAGATTTGTTCGTGGATTTGCTGTATTCACCGTAAACTATTAATTGAATTATCTCCATTGTACCAGATTGACGCGTAGCCTGTTTGTTTTTGCGGTCCTTATGAACGCCTACTCTTATGAGGCTGAATCTAACAACCAAAAATTTTTTAACCCATTCCTGAAACTCTTACTAAGAAACGATATTCCGCTAAACAAAAAGCTAATCGGAAATTCACCACTAAATGTTGACTTTTCTTTTACTTCCGAGTCTTCAGTGATGTCAATACAAGCTTTCATGCATAGCGTTCGGTGGTTTAAAACTACCGCAAAATAGAGACTTGGTATAAAGTTATGCTTGATGTGTTTTTTTATTGAAATCAGCAACAACCGAGGAAAATCCAGTTTTCACCAGGACAGTTGTATCGTTTTATTGTTTGCATGGGTGTGCGCATCACTGATTCTCAAAACCCAACGCTTGAACTTGTATTTACCCACTAGTTTTATGGGACTGTACTATCTGTCATTTGATTGTTATTCACAATGACTAGTGTGTTGTGTGATGTTTTGCATACTGCATCTTCACTCACTCACAGATGACCAGTTCTTCGCACATTATACTTGGAATTATTGGGCATCTTCCTCTACCAATCATGATGTCGTTACACTCCACCCATAACACCATCGCGCATAGTCAACGTTGAACGAAATTTTCCAATCCAAATTATTTCCAGCTTACACAGATCAACGACTCGCCAGTGGATTCCCTTGAATGACGTACAAAACTAAATCCAATCATATCTTATCCACCTGTTTCCATTAATTCAGTACGTGCGTCTGCATTATGATACTAGTCCGGAGGTTGTACTCCAATTACTGTTACACGAGTGGCGTATTGGTGTACCCAATCTGGTAATCTCTACTCTGGGTGGACTGGCCAATGCACCACTACAAAGCAAGCTAAAACGTGTTGTGCAGAGTGGCCTACTTCGCGCGGCTAAAACAATCGGAGCATGGGTCATTACAAACGGGTTAGATATTGGTGAGTTCTTATTTACGAAGCTGTTCATCATTTGACTTTTGTTTGTTCATATATCAGACTTAAACAATATCGTTTTTTTCCCGAAAGCAACGGCCTCGTCGTGATTATGCAGGGCCCATTTGTATTTTTTTTAAATCCACAATTCTCTCTGCTTCAAAGGCCTCTGTGGAAACTATTGTTTTATGAGCCTGACGTACCTTAACCACACGTCATGTCTTGCATTCGAGATTTTCGGTCGATTGTGTTGTCGAATAATCAAGTGCTGGCTCCATTGTATTTCCGCCTTCCCGCGTGGTTTTCAGCATTGCTTTGTGTTTTTCAGCGTTCGTTCATAGTTCTTCCTCCGTCACCTATATTTTTTAACCGTGGCATCAATTGGTTTGCTGATTAGAACAACGTTGCTCCTCAACAACCGTACTAAACTTTTATCCGGTCGGAAAGAATGGTTCTTTTAGTCAAACTTTCGACAGTGGAGACTGATCTACACAAGGTACTTTGACAGGAGCTTGCCCCTATTAACAACACGATCTCGATTGAAACGTGTCTCTGTATGACAGTCCGTGTGCATATATCAGAAACGGGGACAGAATTGAAATCAGTGGTTACCTTGACCGCTTCTAGTGACGGTCAAAACTAAATAGAAGAAAAATACGAATGAGAACTAAACAAACAATGTGCGAATACTCACAAAACATGAATGAAGCTGAACTACCTGGAGCATAGGGTAAACTTCACGAGTGAAGCCGGAATAAGCTCGGGGGACACTATAGAAAACGGCAATGTAGTCCGTTTTTCCAAGTTATCTTTAGTTCGTGGCACTGTTATTAGTTTGCGGTTCATCTTTTTTCGTCTCGGCTTCAAATTTCTCCATGTTACACAATGTGAGCAAACGCTGTCTCTTGCACCTTATTATGTAACATCGCTAATCGTTAGAGTAACTTTTTCCTGCTTTTCTTGTACTCTCTTTTTTATTTAATTCAACGTTGACTACATTCTATCACGCGATTGTTTGTTAAACATTTGGTGGCTTAAATTTTGTTTGCGGACTGTTTATTCAATTATATTTCTTCCTTTGCGTTGCGTTTCTTACTCTAACGGGTTTTTAAGCACTCTTTCATCCAAGTAGGCGGCCAACAGATGGCAAACAAAACCGGCGCATGGAATTGCATGATTAATGGTTGTAAAAACTGAAGTGAACATTTTCAATCAAAGATATTGCACTAACCTTCTATCTCAGTCGCTTTGTATTTATGGTAATATATTTTATATGAGCAAGTTTTGATGATCATAATTTCCCGTAAGTTCACACACCACCAGTGTATTTTTTGAGTACCACTTGCTACAAGGGTTGATTAGATATCTTTATAGCCCTGAAAAGTGTTTTTAGAGTGAGGTCCCACTCACTGTCTTCTCGTGACGAGGTAATTTTGCGTAAGATAGGGGGACAAAAAGACAATACTAAGAGCTATAACGATTTGCTGAGGCATGAGCAGTCAGCTCATCTAGAGGAGCCGGAAAAACTTGATTCCAAATCAGCTGAAAAGAGGCAAGCAGGTTGAAGGCTATCTTCGTTGCAATAGTCATCGGCTCGATTGGTTATAGAGATGTATTGGGTGCAGTAGACGTTTAACTTCCCCAAAAGGTGCATGATCTGATTACCTGGATACCCTACAATGTACTAGGGTATTCACACCTCCATGTGGTCTTGCTGATCAGGCTTTGGATAGCCGAAGGTTTCAGCTAAAATTTCCCACTCCCGCCAAGGAAATTACGTTTTTTAGCCTGGGAAATTTGGAAGTATTCCAAACACAAATCACGGACCGAGTTATTTGTCATGGTGATAATTGTACCGTGGTTTGTTTAACACACAATATGGAAATAAACCGGTGTGGCGTGAATGAAAATATTGAATAAATAAATAAATAAAGCTTTCTCACCGGTAACCAGAGTTTATTTGAAGGTTTCTTCTAAACCATTTTAGATTTTGAACTTTGAGGTCGCCCATATTTTACCTCCCATTTTGCAGGAAGGCTAATCAGGTTAGTGTCAGTTACCATTTAACGTCAGCCCTGTGCTCCTCTCTCTCTCTCTCTCCCCCCCCCCCCCCTTTGTTTACTCTCTTCGTGTGATTGTGTCTGTTCAATGCATCAGGCGTGACCAGACACATTGGTGATGCCCTAGGTGATGAAGTACACGTACGTGGCTCAAACATTGTGGCTTTGGGCATAGCCCCCTGGGGCTACGTTCAGCATCGTGAAACCCTAATGGGTTTGGATGTGAGTCTTGCACGGATATTCCGTAATATATGCATAGTTAAAATATGCCCGATATCTGTTTGTCATTTCTATCTCAGTTTTATCGATTTTCTCGTTTTGAATTTTAATTTTTTGAAGAACTTCATCCATTTTGACTGTCCTTGTAGGGGTAATACGACAGAACTTGTTTCGGCCATTCTACTTGTCTCTTTCTATATCGCTCGTGTTTACTTTTTTGTTAAATAGGTCGGTAGTAGCACTTCGTTGTTTTTTCGGGTAATAGTGTATAAAGCCCGAGAATTTTTTTCTTTTTACATCCTCTTATTGAATACAAAATGATACGATTTTTAAGAAGGGGGGAAATAGCCAATCAAACGGCTGCTATACAACATACAAATAGGGAAAGTCAGGCGATGGTGGTGAGGTTTCGAACACACGTCCTCCGTGATTATGAGTTGATTATATTGCCACCGGGCCAGCCCCGCTTCAGTTATTTTAATTCCCACGTCTGCATAGACGTGAGAATTCAACAACCCCTACCGAAATCAAAAATATTAAAATACCTTGGCGTCACCCTATCACACAATTTATCATGGTCACTGAACGTTCAAAACACATTCTGTAAAGTTAGAAAACTTTCATATTTCTCACTTCAATTGAGATTAATTTCTGTTCCCCACAAGCTGATTGTTAGATTTGTGAATGCATGCGTGCTACCCCACTGGTTGTATTGCTCTCCAGTAATTTTTCCCGGTATGTTGAACAAAAACTTTTATTTACTGGCGAGATCTCTGAAACACATCTCTAAATGTAGTGGCCTTGTCAGGGATAAACTCGCCGATGCTATCATTGACAGACACCTACAAACATGTGAAAGTTTCACCGCCAAAATACTCTCAGACACTCACTACCCATTACACAAGGAATTTTCAAAAGCTGTATCTACATCATTCACACGCTCAAGATTTAACCTTCCATTTGCACGTACCTCTGCTTATCGTAATTCTGTTCTGCCATATCTAGCACGTCTACTTATAGACAAGGACAAAATTTCCACAGAATTGCGCAACCGCTTGCTTCATTGACAAACACCTCATTGCTTTCAGTTTCATTATGTAATGATTTTGTAAATTTGAATCCACAAATATGGTGTAATTTCTGAAAATACACCCATCCGGGTGCATTAAACTACTACTGACTGACTGACTTGACTTGACTTGACATCACTACCCACCTCATTTGTTTTCTTGACGAACTGTTGTTACACGTGCTGAACAGCGTGGAGCAGCAGGTGTAAAAGTTTGAATCGGATTGTTCTACACTCAATGTACTCAGGGTTTTCGCTTAAGATGATTGTTGTCTGATGGCCAACTAATGACTAATGCGTGAGTGTAGCGTTCTTACCACAGTTATCGATCAGCTTTTTTAAGAGGTTTGTTACTAGGATCAGTGGCTTATAGAGTATTACTCGTCACAAAGTTTATTTACTAAGAAAAACTCTGTTGTTTGTGAGTTTTCATTTACGTCCGTTTAAGTCTAATGTAATTGAAATCATTTCCCAAAGTTGTACTTTTAATTGTAATTGTACCGGTTTAAATCTCCCGAGTCGAAACAAACGCCAAATCGTTCACGGGATTTAATCAAGGTTGCTAAGGAGAACACCTTTCATTTTGAACTCGTCGGCATCATCTTCACGCATACTCATCAGTTATCCAGTCAGCTGTACAATTGGTAGCACCAAACTCATGATTCACTCTTAGTCGGGCTCTCCAATGGTTCATATCCATCGATCCATCTAGGATTTTAGCTTCGGACTCCTCACGCGGACAGTGAGCTTGCTACCACCGTGTACCAACCAGCTAACACTGGGGTTGATCTGAATTATCTATTCATGTTTGTTCCGATATCAGCCATAGCCATAGTAACCTCGAAAAGGGAATATAGCAGGCCATTTCTTAAGTTCAACCAAAGGTCTCCCCCAAAAGATCAGCTCCTCCTCGTTGCAGGTTACAAAAAACATCCTCAAAATAAATAAAACTCTAACAGCTTATTTAGTCACCCTTTTGTTTGTTCTTAACCATGGAAGTTGTCCTTGCTGCATTTCACTCTGTTTGTGAGTTACTCCTAATGATCAGAATCATTTATTCGTTATGGAACCTGCTTGAATTGATCACCGTTGTGTGCTATTGGTGAGAAAACTTGCACCATCAAACAAAAGATAGATATATTCATGATATGCAATGAGGTAAACATTAATCCAACAAAGGTCTCTCTTGCTTGTAAGTACCAGGTATCGTTTCACTGCACCGGATTACATCGATAGAGCATGCACTATCCATGGAGTGTTCATCGTAGCTTCCACCTGTGTGTGTGCACAGAACTCATTCGTGTAGTTCACCGTTCAACGGTTCCGGTCAACAGATTGAATCGCTTGTTCAGGTTGACTTCATGTGTAGCTCCAATCAACCGGTTTCGGTATGTTTGTGAATCGGATGTTAAAAATGCTCAACACGCTTGTCATTGTTCCCTTGGACCCAGATCCTTCCTTCGCTATTCATGTGGTGTAGGTTATATGCATTCGGACACTATCATTTTTGACAGAGGTGCGCGCAACTCTAGAAAAGCGCACTGACCTCATGCCATTATGTCGAAGTGATCAGGGCCATTATGTGGTTCACCACTCCAAGTCCCGGGGCTTAGGTTACCGGTTTCCATGACTGAACAGCAGGTCCTCGTGACTGTGGGGTTTCTCCCGTCTGCTGTTCATCACACGAAAGTATGCAATAAAATGCCTTTTTCCTTTTTAGTGAGGTTTACTCTGTGGTTAAAGGAAGTGTGGGTTTTTTCTGGTAGAATTCCAACAACCCCATACAGTCTGCTTGGTCCAGTTTAGACAGGGCAGTGCGCATTGTTTTTTCACTTAAATTCAAATTTTATTTAGCTGCTGATCTCTAGTATCGTCTAACATCGTAAGTATATACCACACCAATCTCCGCACACTAAGCTCGATCAACTATTGACAGGTTTTACCAATATTATTCAATTCGATTTCCTCTTCAGCATACGTGTGCCTACTATTCTCAAGGCTGGAAGCCAGGGCGCCAGGAAGCTCCGTTGCATTCACATCACAATTACTTTCTATTGGCGGACAATGGTACGACTGGGAAGTTTGGCGGTGAACTCTGTCTCCGTCGTCGTTTGGAACAATATCTGGCTCAACAACCCATTGATATGCGTAGATACGGTAAATGTTTTACTCAGTGTTTTCCATTTTGTAAATTGGTACCATAATTCAAACAGCGCCAAATTCAGCTGCACGTGAACCAATGTCTCATCTCGTATCGCTAACCATGGATTACGAGGTCCGCCTCAAATAAACTTCGTTTTATGCACATCATGAAACAGTGCACACTGGCGAATGTAATGTATATCCCCATACATTGTTGACATTTGGGGGGGGGGGGGGGGGAANCGATGATACTTGTTCTGAGATAGTTGCTTTATCAACAAAATTTCGATGTGTGTAACTTCACTTCAGGAAGACAACAGTCAAAACCTTGTACGCAGATCTCTGCTGCTCTCAACTAGTGCAGTCGGAGTATTTTAAGGATGGTCAGTGCGTATGTTCCTACAAATAGCCTTTTCAAGGTGCATAGACATTCGCCTTACAGTTAATTAGTAAGAATTTTTACATTCGTTTTTCTCTAGAATTTTTAGATAACTGAACTTGTCAAAACCTCCTCACACGGTTATAGTCTTACCTTTCAATTATTGCATTATAGTAAGTAGTTTCATGTGAGTAGTAGTAGTTTTTGTGTTCGCCCAGAGAAACGTCTAGTATGATAAGCGATTTGTATTGGGTTCTTGCTGAACTCACGGGATAATCGAATTACTGAGGTGAAAAGGTTTTCCGTTAGTGTTTCCTTACCAACCGTTCAACGAAAGTCAACTACTTGAACACGTTTCATTGAATAATTAACAAGCGTTCAACTCTCCTATTCCCGCCTATTACCCGTCACACTAATTTGACCGTTCTTAGCAGAACTTCAAAGACTGTATTGCGTTCATGAATGGGCTTCAACTATATGTTAAAAAAGAAAGGTTGGGTGTAATAGTGTATCTAATGGGACAGTACTAGACCAGGTATTTAAAGTCTATTCGACTGTGGTTTCTTATTCACTTTTGTATTAGATAATATTTTAATGTACTCACTCTAGGTTCGTGCTTTACCAGAATTGCTTGTAAACACCATTGGTAGTTAAGTATGTTGTTCACCTCAGTATCCTCNCACTTCACACTTTTTATCTTTAAAAATATTTGATGCAAAATTTGGATGTGGCCCAATTCAAGCAGTTGTGTTGTCCTGTCAATTCATTGTTGGTAGGTGGGTCCAAATCTCGTGTTCCCATTGTTGGTGTGCTTTTGGAGGGCGGTGCCCAAACCTTCAGAACCGTATTCGAGCTGGTTACGGGACGCAACCCTGTCCCCGTGGTCGTTTGCGATGGGAGTGGACGAGCTGCCGATTTGCTTGCATTTATGCATCGCTATGCAAACGAGGACGGGTGAGTTTGTCCATTTATTTCCGGGGTAGATGAAGAGTGTGCTGTCATAGACCGGTAAACTTTCGTCACTACTGGTTTTTTTTGCGTCTCCCTCAGTGCTGCCACGATTTATTTGTTCGGAGTTTCAGACTGTTCACCTTGTTTGGTGTGATATCAACCAACAGCATCCCGTGCCATTTTTCAATATGAGATGTGTTTAAATGTTCCATAAATATGGCTTCTGAGTTGGGGTGCAATTGAAAGAAAAATTCCTACAAAGTAAATAACTTGCGCTTGGTTTTTTATCATGGTCGTGTTCGAAGCTGATGGATGATGACATACGGAAGCTTGAGAGTGTAAAATGCATTTTTGTTCCACGATCCACAGGTTCACATTTCGTGTTTCAAAGATGTTCATCAACAGAATTAGCCACCTACCTGTCCGTCATTAGCTTATGGACACAATACTGTGAACAGCTAGGGTTCGACAATCACGAGTACAGTTTGCGCATATTTGATACAAAACCCACCACACCTTGCGTTAACATTTCCGGTGAGATTGGTGTGTGTTAGATCACTGGTTCTCCTGACTTTTTTGTTACGCATCAGAGAGAACTTGGGAGCGGGAATAAATTATAATTACAGATTTCGAAAAGCATTTAAACTAAAGGTAGTAAACGATAGACATGGTAAAAGTGTCCGTTCTATTTTAAACTGGACAGTGGGGCATGGTAAACTCTAGGATGTTTGCGATTCCCAAGGATTCTTGGGGTCTATTATAGTTAATTCCATGATAATGCACATGTAACTCACAGTTACTTGTGGGCAGTGGCATGGGATAATTGATCTTTATTTGAACTGACCACACTTTGTACTTCAATTTCAAGCATAATCTTCAGCTCATCCATTCAACCATGCAATCGGAAGTACTAGACTCGAGTTGTGCTCTTATTTGTGCTCATTACTAATGCGTATCTTCCGTCTAGTCCGGGCTTTGACCTCCGGACTCATCGAAGGCGTGAATGTTACCACTATATCAACCAGCTCATACCAGGGCTGAACCGAATTGCCCATTTATGTTTCTTCGGGTGTCGTCTTCAGTGATAGTCAGACAGTTCACTTTCTACTCGATAGCAATGAAGACAGACACAGCTGACTATCTGATAATGGTTTTCGTGCGTTTTTCCCAATTCTGAGTATCCACCTTCCCGCTTCCCCCGTTGCGACTTGCCTCAAGATGTTGCGCGGCTTGAACACAGATTCGGGGAGAGATGTATAAATTATTTGTCTCAGACATCTCGTTCTGTAAAAGTCAAGCGCGTTAAACCTTGTTGGATCTCAGCTAAACAGTACTCTATTCAGATCATCAACGTGGCTTCTATGGTTGACCTAACAGATAAGAGAGCAGTTCCCGAGGATAAATTTAAATAATCAATCAGAATCAACCACTTGGATGCACTCTGCCGTAGATGAAGAAGTGGGCATCTCATTGGCGCCATCGATGATTTAGTCTGATTATACTGGTTGAGTACTTTTGTCACATTACAACACTTACAGTTTTTGCCCACCAGAGTGTGTTCCTTTTCTGTTATCTTGTCACTTTTCATCATTTCCATATATTTTCCGTCGGACCTAACTCGTTCTTGTTTGGTTTCATCCTGTGATGAGAGGCCAAATAGATAATCAGAAGCCAGCATTCAGGCCAAAATATCCAAGTGCAGGTTTAGAGGTTTTTCAAACCGAAACTGATATGATCTGCGTCTGATTCTTTGATAATGAGCGATATGTTAATTCAAACTGTCGCCATTTTAATTAACTTTTCAATCAACAGCACAATGTTTGTTGCATTCTGTCAGGTATAGCTTACTTTCTGGTAAAATTTTGTTGTTTCAAGGGAGTTTACGAATTAACACTGGTTATATGTATAGTTGAATGGAATGGAATCAGCAATCGATTTCCTGCAACTTGTAAGTCAGCCAACTCATCCATGTACAATAAACACACATCACAGTTAAATGGGGTAAACTGATCCTGAAGCCGTTTTCACATCGTCAGTACAGGAGTATGCCTCGAAGTTTCGGTTTTCGAGGTTTGATCTTGTTAAAAAGTGATTGTACCTTGATCCGTTTTACACACAGTTTGGACCTGTAACAATTTGAAAAACAAACGTACATTCTTTGGATCTGTGATATAAAGTTCAGAGAAATCAATCAACGCACATACATGGTTGCATGAGAAATAAACCTATGCTCTTCAGTATCACCTGGCACCTATAATCCGCGAAATCTATTCTTCTTCATTCACTTGTGTATGGCTCGAGGTTTGTGTTTGATGCACCTTATTCTCTATAGCAGCCAGCTTAAGACGCTTGTATTATACGCCGTAGTTTGAGGAACAGGGGAGAGATAAAATTTCGTAACCAGTCCACATCTGTTCCTTTTGCATACGTTAATCGTGTCCATGTGTGACTGCCTCGTCTGATCCAATAGATTCAATCAAACAGCGGCTATTGTTTGACTGTTTTCGACAAGATG